AAATAAGGAGCAGGGCTGCATTCCTGTAGTCATTACCATCCTTCCACCTGTCAGTTCCTGCCTCCTTTTCATGTTACCTTAATAACACTAGGAAGAGTGTGGACATGTATCATAAGAGTTAGCTTTTGCTTCCTCAGGGCTAATTTTCTCTTCTCAAGAGTTCAGGGTGGGGCTGGTAGGAGGCTGCTGAGGACAGGGCCTTTCTCACAATGAGATAGAGGAAAAAAATCCTCTATCTCATTGGCGATGATGAGATATCCACTCAGGAATCACACCCAGAATCCTGGAAAATGCCTGGCCTTATTTTGCTGAAGTACAGGGACTTGAGGGGAAAGGCTTGTTTGCTGAGGACAGTGGAGAGTTCTAGAAGTGCAGGTGGATGCTGGGGAGCAGAAACAATGGATGGTCAATAGGAAGAGGCTACTGTCCTCTGAATTTCTGTCTGTCCAAACTACACAGATAACACCTCAAAACATCACCATTCTCCTCACAGCCACTGTTTTATCACTCTTTCCTCCTTTTCACAGGAGAAATAGTGGTTCTGTGGTGGAATTAGTACAGTGTGAAGGAAATCGTTTTCTGGACTGTAGAGCTGGATGGGTCTACAGATGTAAACTATCCTACCCTAATAGCATTGTTCCTCTATCTGGCAGAATAGCTGTCATCATGGGCTCAAATGCTGCTTTCAAGTACAAACAAAAGCAAACATGGAAGGTTTGGCCCTGGGGTGGGCAGGGTAGGAGGGCTTGAGGGGATTCAGATAAAACTCAGCAATCTTAATACATTATAACAGCTTATGCCATTAATTGAAACTAATTGAAATTCATCTGCTATTACCTCTGTACTTTCCATGAAAATGGAAACTCAAGTTAAAAAGAAACTGTTTTAATGGCCCAAAATGGATCAATTATTTTCATCTTTAGTTAAATACAGTTTACTGCCTTATTAAAAGCATGTTTGTAGGAAAACTATAACATTAAAATTACAGTGCATTAATCACCAAAGCCTTAATAATGTTATACCTAATAGAGTGTTCCCTTTTTATTTGGTAGAGCAAAATGGAATAGGTCAGGTTTGGGTCATAGAAATCTTACAGTTTGACTGACAAAAAAATCAAGAGTATTCACTTGTCCATTCCTGGACATGATATTTTCTTTTTTTTTTAACATTTTTTTATTGTTGGTCAAGTACATTTTCTGCCTTTTCCCCTCAGCCCTTCCCACCTCCCTACCCTGTTTCCCCCACCCCCTTGTTATTGTCTATGTGTCTTTTATTTCCTGCAATCCCTTCACCCTTTCCCCTATTATCCCCTCCCCTCTCCTCTCTGGGCACTGTCAGCCTGTTCTCAATTTCAGTGTCTTTGATTATATTTTGCTTGTTTGTTTGTTTTGTTGATTAGGTTCCTGTTAAAGGTGAGATCATATGGTATTTGTCTTTCACCACCTGGCTTATTTCACTTAGCATAATTCTCTCCAGTTCCATCCATGCTGTTGCAAAGGATAGGAGCTCCTTCTTTCTTTCTGCTGCATAGAATTCCATTGCGTAAATGTACCATAGTTTTTTGATCCATTCATTTACTGATGGGCACCTAGGCTGCTTCCAGAACTTGGCTATTGTAAATTGTGTTTCTATGAACATTGGGGTGCACAGGTTCTTTTGAATTGGTGTTTCAGGGTTCTTAGGATATAATCCTAGTAGTGGAATTGCCAGGTCAAAAGCCAGTTCCATTTTTAGTTTTCTGAGAAAATTCCATACTGTTTTTCATAGTGGTTGTACCAGTCTGCAAATCCCACCAACAGTGCATTAGGGTTCCCTTTTCTGCACACCCTCTCCAACATTTGTTGTTTGTTGCTTTGATTATGATGTCCATTCTCAATGGTGTGAAGTGGTATTTCACTGTGGCTTTAATTTGCATCTCTCTGATGGCTAGTCTGCTGAGCATCTTTTCATATGTCTCTAGGCCCTCTGTATGTCCTCCTTGGAGAAGTGTGTGTTCAAGTCCTTTGCCCATTTTTCAAAATATATTTTATTGATCATGCTATTACAGTTGTCCCATTTACCCCTTTATTCCCTCTCACCCTGCACACCCCCTCCCACCCACCCACATTCCCCAACCTTAGTTCATGTCCATGGGTCATACTTATAAGTTCTTTGGCTTCTACATTTCCTATACTGTTCTTAACCTCCCCCTATCTGTTTTCTACCTACAGTCTATGCTACTTATTCTCTGTACTTTTGCCCCCTCACTCCCCGTCTTGCTCCACTGCTGACAACCCTCCATGTGATCTCCATTTCTGTGGTTCTGTTCCTACTAGGTGTTTGCTTAGTTTGTTTTTGTTTTTGTTTTAGGTGTGGTTGTTAATAACTGTGAGTTTGATATCATTTTACTGTACATATTTTTGTCTTCTTTTTCTTAGATAAGTCCCTTTAACATTTCATATGATAAGGACTTGGTGATGATGAACTCCTTTAACTTGATCTTATCTGAGAAGCACTTTATCTGCCCTTCCATTCTAAATGAAAGCTTTGCTGGATGGAGCAATCTGGGATGTAGGTCCTTGCCTTTCATGACTTGGAATACTTCTTTCCAGCCCCTTCTTGCCTGCAAGGTCTCTTTTGAGAAATCTGCTGACAGTCTGATGGGAACTCCTTTGTATGTGACTGTCCCCTTATCTCTTGCTGCTTCTAGGATTCTCTCCTTCATTTTCATCTTGGGTAATGTAATTATGATGTGCCTTGGTGTGTTCCTCTTTGGGTCCAACTTCTTTGGGACTCTCTGAGCTTCCTGAACTTGATAGAAGTATATTTCCTTTGCCAGATCGGGGAATTTCTCCTTCATTGTTTGTGCAAATAAGTTTTCAATTTGTTGCTGTTCCTCTTCTCTTTCTGGTACCTCTATGATTCAGGTGTTAGAACATTTCAAGATGTCCTGGAGGTTCCTAAGCCTTTCTCCATTTTTTAAAAAATTTTTGTTTCTTCATTTTGTTCTGGTTGAATGTTTATTTCTTCCTTCTGGTCCAAATCATTGATTTGAGTCCAGGTTTTCTTCCCATAGCTGTTGGTTCCCTGTATATTTTCCTTTATTTCATTTTGCATAGTCTTCACTTTTTCCTCTATTTTGCAATCATACTCAACCATTTCTGTGAGCATCCTGATTACCAGTGTTTTGAACTCTGCTTCTGATAGGTTGTTTATCTCCTTGTCACTTAGTTTTTTTTCTGGAATTTTGATCTGTTCTTTCCTTTGGGCCATATTTCTTTGTCTTGGCAGGTGTGTTACATTGTAAGGGGCAGATCCTTAGGTATTCAGCAGGATGTGGCTACCCAGGTCATTACATTGTGGTGCTGTATGTGGGGGAGGGATCAGAGAGGGAACAGTGCTCACTTGCTCGGCTCTCAACCCAGTTTCCATTCATTCCCTTGCTTCCCAAAAGCAGATTGTGCCTTTTCAGGTGCTGATTCCCAGGTGGGTGGGTTTGTGTACATTCTAGGACACCCTGGGCCTCTCCAATGAACTCTCCTGTGAGACTGGGACTTTCTCCTGCCTTCTCAACCCCTATGGATTTTATAGCCAGAGGTTTTGAGTCTTTCATTTCCTGGACTGTGTCACTCCTCCATTGTTCTTCCTGGGTTATCCGTGTGCAAATGTGGGAGCACCTGATCCACCAGCCCCCACCTGGCCACAGGGTCCACAGCCTTGCCATGCTTCCTCTCTGTCCTGGTTGACCCGGCTGCCCATCTCTTCTCTCCCCACCAGTAAGGATGAATGTTTATCTCCTTGGGTGTCAGAGTTGCATGCAGCTTGATTTTCTGTCAGGTCTACTTGTTTTTTGTTTTTAAATTGGTTGTTACCCTTCTTTTGGTTGTGCGAGGAAGTGAAGCATTTCTACCTATGTCTCCATCTTGGTCAGAACTTTCAGCAGTTTCTTTATTTGTGAAAAGGTAAAAATGCCAATTCATTGTCAATAATAGCACATAAAGAGCATATAATATGTTTCACTCATTTAATAGTATCTTTGATTTTACAGCTGATGAAATTAATAGAATATCATACATCATTAACTTTTATAATATTCTTAAGAAATATAAATAAACAGTATAAACTGTTACCATCAAAATGTTACACAGGGAAAATCTCCCAATATTGTAGTGATTTTACTTTTACTTACCTAAAGGATACTCTTTGGCCACTTTTGCTAGGTTTTGACACTAAATTCTAGAAATTAGAATTTAAATCTTTATAAAAATTTTCTGTTGGCCCTGGCCAGTGTGGTTCAGTTGGTTGAAGTGTCATCCATAAGCCAAAAAGTTGCTAGTTTGATTACCAATCAGAGCACATACTTAGGTTGTGGGTTCCATCTTAGTTGGGACATGTATGGGGGAAAATCCATCAGTGTTTCTCTCTTGTTGATGTTTGTGTCTCTCCCACCCTTCCCTTCTCTCTAAAATCAGTAAGCATGTCCTTGGGTGAGGAAAAAATAAAGAAAAAAATTATGCTTGAAAAGCAGAATGTTCTAGTCTTTATTAGTTCTCAAAGAAAGGAAAAATTTCATTGATATCAGCAAGGTTCAGCATTTAAATATTCATATATCCATCATGTACATGAATTTCTTTTACCATTGTCCTTTTCATCTTAGGAAGAACTTGAATGTATTGCCAACCTTAGTAATTTTTTCCTTAATAAGTGTGGCAAAGAGGGAAGAAAGACAGGTAAAAGGTTTTATTCTAGACAGTTTTATTTATTGTAATTACAACTTTCAAATTATTGGAACATAAATAAATGTCCTACTTCTGAGTTTAAAATACTTGACTACTTTGTGGGATATTTTGTGCCAATTCTTTACTAAATTGTCTTGGTCATCGTTGCTAGGTAACACCAGTGGCTTCCTGCAGCTGAAAAAGGAGAAGGTTACAGGGAGCATTTCAGTATTATTAGCATTTGACTAATAAGGTTATTCCTTTTTTTTAAACTGTATAACTAAGCATTTCCCCCTTTTCTAGGGAATGTCATTGTCTATGGGGATACAATTGACACTTACACCACAGTGGAAACACTCTTAAACCTTGGCATAAGGGGTTCCTGCATCCACTTTGTGCAACCTCCACCCACCTCCACCATTACTTGCATCAACAACTACTCAGTGGAAAGCGCAGTGGAGGACGTGCTCCAAGCAGCAGGGGTTACCATTTACCGAGAGGCACTCCTGGCTCAGTGGAACGAGGGTCAAAACCCAGACCCTATTCACAACGCCTGCTTCACCACGCCCACCAAGCCTTTCAAACTTCCGTGCTCTGTAAGTAGGTCCTGTGAACCTCAATTGCTGCCTGCGGACTTGGGGTCTGAAAGGTGGTGGATGGTAAATTTATAGTCATGATCTTGGGTTTTATGTTTTAATTGCTCATTTTATCTATTGCTGAGTAACAAGCCATCCCAAACTGAGTGGCACAATACAAGAATCATGTGTTATTGTTCGCTCTTGTGGTCCTGGGGTTGGACTGGGCTCAGCTGGGCAGTTCTCACCAGAGGTCGCTCCTGGTTGAAGTCAGAACATGGGTGGGGCTGGAATTATCTATAAAGCATGTTCACCTACATGTCTGCTTGCTGATACTAGATCAACTTTAGTTGAAATTTTGACCAGACCACTTATTAATGAACTCTTTATGCAACTGGGCTTCATTTTACCATGGTGACTTGGTCCTAAGAGCAAGTAGTGGGGGGGTAGGGGAGAGAGAGAGGGAGAGAGAACGTGCTGTATCACTTTTCATGCCCTAGCCTCAGAGGCCAAGTGGTGTCACTACACCTGCATTCTACTAACTAGAGGCAAGTCACTAAGGCTGGTCCATAGTCAATGGAAGGGAATTAGACCTCACATCTTCCTGGAAAGAATGTCAAAGATTTGAAGAGTGCCAACATTGAGAGGTTGCCTGATACAATGCTACATGCTTGTAGTACATTCTTTCACTTCCTCACAACAGCCCTGTAAAGGGAAGCATCCCATTTTATAGATAAGAACATCATGGCTGCAAGTAATGGTGTGTTGGGATACCACCCACATCACCAAGGTCCCCTAAGTCTATGCTGCTGTTAACTTTTTAAGATCCTGGATATACCAATAGTGAGTCTTTCTCCATGCAATAGAGATTTAGAAGATGTATAAAGAGTATATCCCCCTTTATTTTTGGATGGGGGCAGGGTGACAGCTCAATTACAATCTGTATCCTCAGAGTTGCCAGTTTAGGAGATTAGCAGAAGTCTGCAGGGAGAGAGGGAAAGAGACAGCCAATCCAATGAAGAAGCAGGAGACCCCACACAAAGGGAAGGCTGAGGTCAGTGTGAGTATTGGAGCTGTGTAGGCCAAGGGTGTATGATAGCAGTTATAGTAAAAAAAATGCCAGCAAACTGGTTGGGGAGGTAGGTGGGAGTTCATAGCGAGCCCTGGCCTAGAAAAAGGGGTTGGTTAGCCTAACCCCTTCTGGTGTTGGTTGGGCTTCTCACCCAAGTGTCTTTAAGGGTAGATCGTGATGACTCATCCCCACAGAGTCCAGACAGGGGAGATTTCTCTGAAATTTCTCATTTTATCCTGATAATCCATGGAAATTTTATATTTTACTCTTTAGCACATTCATTTATTCATACATTCCACAATATTACATACATTACACATTTATGTAATATTAGGTCTTAGGTTCTACCCTAAATGTGAGGGATGTAACAGTGAAAAAGACAGAAGTTCACCTTATTTTAATATAAAAGAGGCATCATCTGCACAGGAATGTCACTATACCTATTTACAATAAGAAAAATCAAACTGTTTTCACCCAAATTTCCCTTCTGCCCCCCAAAATGGCCATCCTGGAGGATGTGTCAACTTTGTGTGGGAAACCTCTTGAGGTGAGCACATACCCTGTTTAGGAATCAGAGTCATAAGGAAACTCCCCCAAATATCCAAATGAATACAGGTTCTCTAGCAGCTTCAGGGAAGAACTGGAATCATGCCAAAGACACCTTGCAAATACTTGCAATTGCTTTGATCCAAAAACACCTTCCTGCTAAAATTTCAACTTAAAGCAATCTGAGTTAGACATTGGCCTACTATCAGGTGAAGTCTTCCGCTCTCCCTGCTCTACTCACCACAACAAGTGGCCTCTGCAGAAGATATCTCCCAGTCCCGGTTGCTCTCTGACATCCAGATACTGGCAGGAGATTAGAAATAGGAAGACAGGAAAAGTCAGGGTATTTATCCCTCCTGCTGTCTACAATAGGCATCATCTCTGTTAGGACGTTAGGAAACTTTTGGTGGGAATTAATATATTTATGATGTTGACTGTGGTGATGGTGTTATGGGTTGAATTATGTACCCCTAGAGAGATGTATTAGAAGTTCTAACCCCCAGTACCTGCAAATTATTTGGAAATAGGTTCTTTGCAGTTGTAATCAAGTAATGAGAAGATCATACTGGATTGGGGTGGGCCTTAAATCTAATGACTCGTGCCTTCATATGGGGAGAGATATTTGATGACACAGAAGAGACACATGAGCAAGAAGGCCATACATATAATGACAGAGGCAGAGATTACAGTGATGGCAGTTACAAGTCACTGAAGGTATATTAGTTATGGGGCAAGAATTGCCAGCAACCATCAGAAGCTAAGATACAGAGAAAGAATCTTCCTTAAATCATTAGGAGGGAGCATGATCCTAATGCTTTGACTTCAGACATCTAGTCTTCATAACAGTGAAAGAATGAATTTCTATTGTTTTAAGTCATCCACTTTGCCATACTTAATTATAGCAGGCCTAGGCAACTAAAACAGATGGTGTGCATCACTTCTAGGCCTTTTGGCTAAGATCAAGTGTAGTGTCTGTTCTTATCAGTTTTTTTTTTTCTTTTTGTAAAGTTTTATTGTTGTTCAATTATAGTAGTCCCCAATTTTCCCCTCATTGAGATGATGTCACAAATATATGCCCCTGATAAAACTAGAATTTTTATAACTAGAATTATATATTATGTACTATGTTATATTTAAATCCTTTCACTTAACATAGTGATATTGAGATTCATTCAAAACATTCTTTGTATCAATAATTCACTCCTTTTTATCTGGGTTAGACATTGCTGAATAGCATTCCATTGTATGGATATACCACAATTTGTTCATTTACTTGCTATGCACATTCTTGTATACATCTTTGTAAAAACATATGTTTTCATTTCTCTGAAGAATGACTAGGTCACATGGTAGGTAAATATTTATCTCTAAAGAAGCTGCCATATTGCTCTCCAAAGTGGTTGTATCATTTCACATTTCCAACAGTAAGTTATGAGAGTTCAGTTGCTTTATATTTTTGTCAGTGCTTGGTATTGTCAGTCTTTCTAATTTTAGTCATTTTAATAGGTATGACATCATGTATCATTGTGTTTTTAATTTTTGATTTTCTGAAAATTAATAATATTGGGTTTCTTTTCATGTGCTTATTGGTAATTTGTATATATTCCTTACTACAGTATCTGAGCTATTATAAATGGGCTTTTAAAACTTTGTTTCCCACCTGAATCATTGCTATAGCATGTAAAGTAAAATTGTTCCATATGTAAACATTGTAACCAGAGACATTGCAAAATTCACTCATTAGTTCTAGTAGTTATTTTCTAGATATATAAATAATACCATCTGCAAATGGAGATAGTTTTACTTCTTCTGTGCAATATTGATGCATTTTATTTTATTTACCCACTTTATTCTACTGGCTAGGACTTTCAGTGTAATGTTCAATAAAAGTGGTAAAAGTGGACATCCTTGTCTTTTTCCATATCTCAAAAGAAAACACTCAGGCTTTTACCATTAAACATGGGGTTAACTGTGAAGTTTTCTTTGGTGCCTTTTATCAAACTGAGAAAGTAACCTTTCATTCCTAGTTTACTCATAATATTTATCAGAAATGACTGTTGAATTTTTCAAATGAATTTTCTGTAGTTCTTAAAAACATCATATTTTTATCTCTAAATGCTGTTGATAGGGTGAATTACATTGATTTTCAAAATGTTAGCCACCTTTACATTTCTGGATGAACCCTAGTCAGTCATTATACATTAATCCTTCTGTATAGTTTTGAATTTGATTTGATAATATATTTTAAGAACTTTTGAAACTATTTTGCAACTATATTCATGAGGGATATTGATCTATAATTTTTCTGTTTTTGTAATGTCCTTGTAAGTGTTTGGTACTTAGGCTATGCTGGACTCAAAATACTTTAGGCAATATACCTCCTCCTCTATTTTATGAAAAAAAAATGTGTAAAATTGGTACCATTTCTTTCTTGGATATTTGATAGAATTAACAGTGAAACCATCTGGGCCTAGAGTTTATATTGTGGGAAGGTGTTTGATAACAAATTTAATATTTTTAACTAAATATAAGACTAGTCAGATTTGCTGTTTCTCCTTATGTCACTTTTGGTAAGTTGTATTTTTTAAGAAGTTTGTCCACTTCATTAAGGTTGGTAAAATTTATTGGCATTAAGTTTTTCATATATTTGTATATAATCTATTAAATAACCTATTTTTCATTTCTGATATTGGTGAATTTCATTTTCTCTCTCAACATTTGTCAGTTTTACTGATTTTTTTCAAAGAACCAACTTTTGAGTTTAATTTTCTCCATAATCTATTCATTTGTCTTTCACTGATTTCTGATCTTAATTATTTTCTTCCTTCTCCTTGCTTTGGATTTACTTTACTCTTTTTATAGTTCCTTAAGAACCTTAGGTCATTGATTTATATGATCATTTAAAGCTGTGAGATTTTTTCTGTGTTTTAGCTGCATCCTATTAATTTTTTTATATGCTTACCCAAGGACATTTTTTAATTGCTTTTAGAGAGAGAAGGAGAAAGAGAAAGGTGGCGGTGGGTGGGGCACAGAATGGTTGCATTCTTATATGTACCCTGATCTGGGATTGAACCCCCAACCTGAGCATGTGCCCTGACCAGGAATCGATCCCATGAACTTTTTGGTCTACAGGACAACACTCCAACCACACTGGCCAAGGCCCCATTAATTCTGATATGTTGAATTTTCTCTATCATTTAGTTCAAAGTATTTTCTAATTTCCCTTATGATTTCTTCTTTGACCATTGTATTATGTAGAGGTGTGTTATTCCTATGATATTTTTATTAATTTCTAATTTAATGCCATTGTGGTCAGAGATAGATTCTCTATGATTTTAACCATTTAAGATTTAGTAAGACTTGTTTTTTTTGTCCAAGCATATGGACTATCTTTCTGTAGCCT